TTTTTTTTTTTTTTTTTTTTTTTTTTTTTTTTAACTTTGATGACCAAATTCATCAATATGAAAGTATAGGGACTTAACCACGCTTAAGTGAAAGTATAGAGACTAAAAGTACATTTTTCCAATATTAAATAAGTGAGACCAACAAGTTGTTGATCTGAGTTTAACTGGATTGGGTCTCTTTAAGTAAGATCTTGTAATTAAGTTTTGTGAATAAAAAAAATATAATTAAAAGTAAAAATTTCATTAAAAGTGATCAAGTTCTTTGACGAAAATTAATTATAAATATAACTTGTGGATATTTTGCACCAATAACTTAATTATCAAAAAAAAATAAAATAAAAATTGAGGTCCTATAAAATTAATAAGAAAAGGAAATAGACACAGAACTTGCGCATAACTTTAAATCCCTAGTTTTAGTTATCATGAATTGAAACTCAAGCATATACATATAGTTATTGTTTTATATCGTACAAAAATTTTCATGCCTATAATAATATATTTAGTGAACTTGTTATTCTGATGCCCTTACTTTCAGGGACCGATAGCCTCACTCGGTGGCTGGAGGACCCAACAGAACCTAATACAACTCTCTCATGGAACGTGGTCCATGGTAAGACACACAAAAAACATTATTTGTATTTTTGTCTATCCTTACTGATGTTGCTTTGTTTCTTTGTAGGAACTGGCATGATTACGCAGGAAATATCCTGGTCGTCGAGCTATTATGTGGCATTGGGTAATTTGGATGAGGATGTGGAGGTATTTCTGTAGTCCTATACCAATACCATACTTGCTCCGGTGGGCATAATAACTATAGGTTCTCTAGAATGACTGAACGGAGGGCATGATGCGTTATTTTTCCTATCAGGATCTTCAAACAAAGTTTATTTTAAAATATTGATAAAACTAGTATTAATTGACAAAATCTCTTGTTAAACAAACTAACAAAACACAATAAGAGCTTATAATATATGAACTGAAACTTAAGTTGTGATGACAGTTTTCTTGGTTACTGTGACTTAGTGGATTTCATCGTCATTTCAACATAGACACGGACTAATTACATGCTTGAAAACCTTTAATATTCGGTTAAACTTGAACATTTCTAACATGGTGCGGAGTTGTCCTTCATACTTCATCTTGCATTTTTCAACATTTGTGTCTCTACGTGTGTTAATTCATTCACTCATAAAAAGCTGGAGCATATGAACTTAATTTTTAAGTATACATATTTCATAAGCAAAATCCAAAAAGGACGATGGCACCTTGACATAGGCATTTCAAACATGAACCTATATATTTTTTTACTTAAATCTATTTTTAGTTCCTATAATTTTGCAAATGGGTAATCGAAGCGTACTATGTATATTCTCCGCATACCGGGTACTCTGAGGTCACGTACCCGTATCCGTTCCACGTACCAAAGCATACTAGGAATTATGTGACTATAGGTCATGAACTGCAAAGCAGACAAATGTGAACTTGAATCTGACAGTATCTTAAACCTGACCTAATCATTAACAGAAATCCCCTTACCCCTCAGACCAGATCCCATTTCCTCCGCTATGGATTCTTCTTGATCTTACCACCACCATCCCTTCCTTAGCCGCAAATGCTACAAGATTCTAATATCATGTCTTAGAGCCCTAAGTTCTTTGCTTGATCGACCAGAAAATAATCACAGATCTCACAAAACTTCAAACAGAGAAGCCAAACTTGAACAGATTAGGTTAGTGTTCTACCCATCATAACATAATGATATCAATTATTCAAAGTTTACTTTCTCTTTCATTCACATATTTTTCCCCCCATAATTTGAACACATTAATTTCAGTTCAATTGAATTAATCGTCAGACCTTTAATTAGTATTGTATTTTTACGTTGTTATTGTTTCAGAAAAAGCCTTGCATTCTATTAAAATGGTGTTTTAGTAATGAAAATTCTGGACCAGAGTGTTCTGAGTGTGGGAAAGGTGGGGTTTGATACAAGTAATCTTATCAGATTTTGCTAGTTAATATTTCTCTCATACATCAGTCAGTTTTTTGTTTTTCTCCTTATTATGATTTCAATGGGCTTATATGTTATTAAGCACTGTAATTATTTATTCAGTAATCAATTTTTGTTACTTTCCTTGGTCTCATGTTCAATAGGTGGCATTAAACCTCAGTGTAAGGGCCTTAATGCATAATACAACAAATGCTTACTACAAATGTGCTCTTACCAATAATCAGTGCAGTTTGAATATTTTCTTTCCCGAGGGAAGCGCAGCTGTCTTGGTTACTCCTGGTCCTCAACAGGCAAGATTACTATCATGTACTTGCTTCAAAGGTCATCCTTACAAAATTTAAATTATAATGGAACATAAAATTATTAATGCTGCAACTTAGCATTTGCATTTTGGTTTATCACTGAAGTCGGAAGCTTGAAAATCCTGTGCCTTTTCCCTCTTGCAAGAAAAATCCAGCTCCCTAATCCCTTGTGAAATTCATATGCTTTATATTCTCAACTGAGGATATGAATATATTTCAGTTCCTTTGCTTTTACTACTATTTATGCTTACTTTTCTTTGGTTCAGAATGCATCCAATGAGTGGCATGTCAAACTGTCCTATGGACCAAGATGGGTGACCTATGTTTTTGGCATTGGTAAAACTCCTTACATAGTCATCCTTTTACTAACTGTGTCAATCTTAACTTGTTTTATATGTTACTATTTATTCTACATCTTCCTGCAGGTGGATTGACCTTGCTTGTGTTTTGGGCCTTCAACATTTTGAACAAGCTTCAGTGTGCCCATGAAGGTAGAGAAGGATTTAGATCCGAGGGTACAGAACCTCAGAGAGCCCCTTTGCTTTCTCAAAAAGATGATGATCTTTCAAGTTGGGGTTCATCATATGATTCCTTGTCACAAGATGAGGAGGATCTTGACTTTCTTCCAGGAGGTCCCATTGATGGGAAGTTTTTGGGTGATGGTGAAACCAGTAATAATACAAAGCGTCTTTGTGCCATTTGCTTTGATGCTCCAAGGGACTGCTTCTTCCTTCCATGTGGGCACTGTGTGGCTTGTTTTGCATGTGGATCTAGGTAATTCATTATAACAACAAAAACTACCGAATTCCTAGAGTAATTTTGTTTACAAATAGGTTCACTACGTATACCTCTTGGGCTTGAGAAGTGAGTTGGGGACTCTAGTTTTCCCCCCCTGATTTTTCCTACAGTATTTCACAACTATAAAGCAGCTAACACATGTCCAAGAATTCCCATTTCGGAAGAAAGATTGAACGAGTATAATTTCTCAAGAAATTGGTTCCCATTTATTTGAGATAATTTTGGACATGCAAAATTTAAACGTGTTGATCCACATTGCAAGTCTATATATCAACCATCTTTATTCTATAGATGACATCTTCAGTGGCATGCATTAGTTAATGTTTATTCTTGTGTGGTGATGTATTTCCAACCTTATCAATGCAGGATAGCCGAGGCAGCTGGTACTTGCCCTGTTTGTCGTAGGAACATGAAGAAGGTTAGGAAGATTTTCACTGTTTGATCAGTGCACTGCCTAGTGTAGAGTCTAAATGAATAGCCACCAGAATTATAGATTACTTTTTATGTACTCAACTACGTACACATTATTTTCTTGCCAATCATTAACGATGGTAAAGCAAATGGTGCCTGCTGGTGAGGGTCGTATTGGCCATTGCAGCACTGCCTAGTGTAGGGGCTAAATGAATAGCCATCAGAATCATAGATTACTTTTTGTGTATTCAACTGCACATTATTGTCTTGCCAATCATTAACAATGATCAAGCTAATGGTGCCCGGCTGGTGAGGGTCGTATTGGCCATTGCAGCAAAAGTTGATAAGGTATGTGGGCATACTTCAAAATTCAAATGCTTTTGCTATCCGTTATTCTTAGGGTGTTTCAACAGAAGGAAGAAGATGGTAGGGAAA